ACACATCACGGCTTTAATTGGGGGTGACAGTGACTGTGTGGTCATCCTTTGTAGATGCAGATACAGTTTTGTGAGGGGACAGAAAATCTATATTGGTTTCAGTCCCTGGTCCTTAACACAGAACTCCTGAACCCATCAGATTTCCTGGGTGACATGTAGCCTTTTGTTCTAAAGAGGTGACTCTGGGTGGGCTCTGGGTGTGGACAGCTCACTCACAGGCAGAGGAACAGTTCCAAGCATGGAATTTTCAGAACTGCCCCGCAGTGTTGAGGACGGAGAAGGGCTCAGGTGGAGTCAGCAAATTCATTTAATCCACAACAGGGACCCTGGGAGCCTCTGAGTTAAAGACAGGAAGTGGTATGAGACCTGGCCATGTCCGGCTTGTGACTGTCACCTGCAGAGTGGGCAGTCCTGTGGGAGGGAGCCCTCTCTGTGAACCCGACACCGTCTCCAGGCAGTCGTGTGGGAGCTGAGTTGTGTGGTGGGACATCCACCTGCTGTCACAGGGGATTTGCTGGTTGTAAACAAAGTGGCCCCACATTTGGTGACCAGAGCGTCAGAAGTGAAGTGTCCTGACTGCAAAAGAAGACACAACAGGATGAAAGAAATGAATTTTTACTTAAAACTATTGTTCTTGTTCAAATTTACTCCAAGACTGTGGGTACAGTCAGTTGGGCTTTGTCACCCCTTCAGCTTGAGTGACCCGGAGACGCCCTGTGCTCTCACTCATGACTGTGTGCTGCTCCCTCCCCTTCCATGGACGTTTCTGACTGCAGAGAAGCCCACCTTGCAGAGGCCTCCACAGAAGCTTCAGTGAGGCTCAGAGCAATAACCTCTGGGCCCAGGGGTTTCTGTCTCACTTCCTCGTCATCTGAGCCACTGTGAGTAACTGAAGCTGCTCCCACTGCCATGCTCTGTAGCACAGTAATAGTCGGCCTCGTCCTCAGGCTGTAGCCCAGAGATGGTCAGGAGCCCTGTATTGGCTGAGGCATCTTTGGATCCAGTGAAGCGGCTGGGGACCCCAGAGCCCTGGTGCTTCTCTGACTCTGATTTATACCACAGGAGATACCGGGGAGGGCTCCTTGGATTCTGCTGAAACCAGATTATGTAGCTGCCACCAACACTGATGTCACTGCTGAGGGTGCAGGTGAGTCTGGCTGTGGCTCCCAGAGAAGCAGAGAGGGAGGGTGGCTGAGTCATCACAGGCCAGGAGAGGGAACCTGCAGACAAAGAAACTTGTCAGTGATGGGGCAGAACCAGGGGAATTTTCTCAGGAGATGGAGTAGGAAGAGAGTAAACTTGGGAACTGAGCCCTGGACCCCGAGACCCGTCCATACCTCTGCAGTGAGAGAGGAGCACAAGGAGGAGAGGTGTCCAGGCCATGGTGCACACAGCCCCTGAGCCCACAGTGGGGCTGCGCTGCCCAGGCCTCCTTTTCTCCCCACCCTCTGCCAGAGGAGGGGCCGCCCAGGCAATTGAGTGTTCACCCAGGGACTGCCCAGCCCCTCCCTGAGCCCTGGTTCTGGAATTCAGCTCACACTCACACTGAGGAAGATGGAGGCTGACTCACCCCTTGGAAAACCCCTGAGGGGAATAACCCCTTGAGACATCACAGAGGGCCCCTCTCAGGGGATATTATCAGGCCACAGAGCACACAGCTGCTGAGTCCCCGTCAGTGTGCACTGGTTCCAACCACCAGACCCAGACTCCTATTAGTGAATGGTCCCTAATGAGCAGCTTAGTAGGCACCACAAGGCAGTCCCTCAGTGCCCCCTGCTGGTGGCAGTAGAAACATCTTCCAACATGACCCAAAGCTCAAGCTGGTTTCTGCAGCTGGGCAGGTCTCTGACTCGCTTCACACCTCCAGTGTCTGGTTCCCAGATACTGTGGCTCTGAGACACTGTACTGGTTACTGTAGCATCTCACTCCCAGGAATCCACAACTGTAGGAGGTGCAAACTTGTATGTAAATGACAAATTAATTTATTTTCACACCCAGTGATGATACTGCAAATGTAAATGCACAGTGACCTTTACATCCAATGTCACAGATGAGGGCACCACCCATCTGGTTTGAAGGCTTATACAGGCTGCACAGAGCATTTGCCAGGAACACACTCAGGAACAGGGGCAGAGGAGGTCTTTTCAGCAAAGATCTCAAGTCATGTGATGCACACAGTTTTCACAGATGTAATTTGATTGATAGGTAAAGAAAATGGCTCTTGAAGGGATCACATTTAACAGTGGAAAGTGCACCATCCTAATTCATTTTACGAATTAATCTTTAGTCTTCTTTGTTTTCTCTCATTTTTTATTCTTACTGTTTTGCATACCTGTGTATTCAGTTTCTTGTTAGGATTCTCTCTTAGGTGATGTCACATTTGTTTTTATTTTAAACAAAACTGCCTTAACTTTCTTATTCATTGTCTCACTTCAATAGCAAGATACCATTCAGGTGAGATGCGTTCACACCTGTGCTGAGTATCTGGTCGGTTGGAGGCAGAGACCAGCACTTCCATCTGTGCCCGCATCCACCTCTGCTTTACCTGTGCCCACAGTCCCATGGTCCCCACATGTCCAGACTCACGGGGACTCATAGTCCATGACCCTGACCAAGATCACCTGTTCACCTGGGGTGCTGTGCTCTCAAGGCACTCCAGGGATCTTTCTCTTTCACCTCAAACAGGTCACCCCCTTCTCAAAACCCTCAGGGTCTCCCCACTGCTGTTTGCACAGAACCCCAAATCCTGACCTCCACTCAGGGGGCTTCCTGTTGGCCTGCCCTCTCCACCCACCACACAGCCCTCCATGTGCTCTCGGACCTCCGAGTCCCCACCTCCCTGTTACTTCAGATCCCAGACTCTCCTCCCATCATGGTGTTCAAGGTGACTGTTACTCTGATCTTTGGAAGGAAATAGGATTGAACTTGAATTCATGGTGACAACTCACATTTGGCCAAATCTCAGTGGCTCTCAGTAGAAGTAGGGCACACACACGTCATCATGGACAGAATAAGAGAATTAACATGACAATGCTGAAGTCACACAAACTATAGAGAAGAGTTCAAAGAACCACCTGCATCGATTACACCCCCTCAACCCCCATTCATGGGACTCCTCCTGTCTAATCTCCTATCCTCTGTATCTACTGACTTTTAACACAAACCGCAGGCCCTGGCTGGTGTGGCTCAGTGGACTGAGTGCCAGCCTGGAAACCGAAGGATCTCTGGTTGAATTTCCAGTCAAGGCACATGCCTGCTTTGCAGGCCAGGTCTCTGGTAGGAGGTGCTCAGGAGACAACTACACATTCATGTTTCTTTTCCTTGCTCCCCCCCTTCCTTCCCCTGTCTAAAAATAAATACATAAAATCTTAAAAAAAACACAACAGAAACACACAACATGCCCTTTCTTCAGCACATATTCTAGCCTAAATAGGCATCTATGTCCCCAAACATTGGCACAGGACACCAAGGGATACCACCTCATGTAACATATATGTACGTGGGTAGAAATCTCCAGAATGGTCAGCTGACTGACTGCTGTGCTGAGTGAGAGAGGGAAGGGGAACAGGCCTCCTGTGTCTGGAGTCATGAGGTTCAGGGGTGACACGTGGGAGCAGAGGGAAGTCCAGAGCAGCACACGCGTCCTCGCACCATCATTTATCGGCTCCCTTCACCCACGTCACAGGGCAGAATCCTGTCTGTTCACACAGACACTTCAAACCCATGGATCTTCATTTATGAGTTTGTGCACTCGAGTGCTTTGTGGGACTTTGAGTAAAGAAAATGGATATTACGTTTTATTGATCAGATGGTAGATTTTGAGTTGTGAGTTAGTCTCAGGTGACAACTGATGACCTTACAGACTGTTATTTAAGTGAAATCTGAGCAGACATTCAAACAACCACCTTGCCCTGGGCAGGTATTTGCTCATGGGGGTCGTGTTGTCTTCTGTCCTCAGTGTCTGCTCCTCACCCACCTGCTGCTCCTGTCTGTGCTCCAGGACCCACACACACACCTGACCCCAATGACATGAGACCCTGTCATGTGTTCAGTCACCTTTGTGTCTCAGGCTTGAAATGCACTCCCCAAGGAAGCAAATGAAAACTTATGAAATGTGTTATCTGCAATGTGTAAAATATCAATATATTAACTACACATGTATTTTGGACAAAAATGTTACTTCACTCATGGATTTCTGTTTCTTTCTCTGTTTGTTTTACTTAATCTTTATTTTATTAGTTTCCATTAACATTTATTCCCCTTACACCCTCCTCACCTCAGGAATCACCACATCGTTGTCCATGCCAGTGAGTCCTTTCCATTGGCTAAATCGAGTCACTCCCTGGCCTCACCCCCCTTCACTACCTGTCCTCCTCCTGTCCTTCACCCTGACTGAGAGAATGTTCCAGATGACTGTGTCCCAGGCTCTGACTTCATGTGAGTCTGTGTAACTCCTGTGTCTAACAGACAGGAACTCAGAAGCACAGAGAGACAGCACATTAGTCTCCGTCCAGCCAACTGGCATGAACACGACTCAAAGGCAAAGGCTGCCTAACAGCTGAGAACACACTCATATAACCCTGTGGGTCTCACGCTGGGGTCATTGGGCCCCCTCAGGGCATATCTGGAAATCTGGAGGTGATGTCGTGGGTCATAACTTATCAAGAGGGTGTCACTGTCATCTATGAGCATAGATGAAACAACGCATCTGAGTGTCCCACATGCACAGAGCAGACCCTTCACAAGCCCTGACCCGCCCCCCATTCCACAAACACACAGGCTCACACACCCTGCTCTGAACTAACTCACCCTCAGGAATTCATTGTATAGAAAACAGGCAACTAACCTCCCTGACAGAGGAGGAAGGTGGGGAGAAAATAGAGGGACTCAGAAACCTCCAATCTCTACACAAACTTTCCAGCAGGAGACAAAAGGGTGCACCCTCCTTGTTGGGGACAGGCTGAGTACAGACACAGAAGGGGAAGCTCTGGGAGTTTTGGTCACACTTTCCCCTGAGTCTGCAGCACTGTGTGATTGGAGCTACCACCACTACTACAGTAAGACAGACAATAATAGTCGGCCTCGTCCTCAGGTTGCAGCCCCGAGATGGTCAGGAGCCCTGCATTAGCCGAGGCGTCTGTGGATCCAGTGAAGCGGCTGGGGACCCCGGAGCCCTGGTGCTTGTTTGAGTCTGAGTAGTAGTACAGCAGATACCGGGGAGGGCTCCCTGGCTTCTGCTGGTGCCAGGATATAATACAGCTGGCAACATTGATGTCACTGCTGAGGGTGCAGGTGAGTCTGGCTGTTGCTCCCAGAGATGCAGACACAGAGGGCGGCTGAGTCACCACATATTGGGACAAGGAACCTGCAAAAACACAGACACTTGTCACTGATGTGGTGGGAACCAGGGACAGTTACTCAGGAGATAGAGCAGGAAGGGAATAAACTTGGGAACTGAGGTCTGATCCCCGAGGCCTGTCCCTACCTGTGCAGTGAGAGAGGAGGATGAGGAGGAGAGGGGTCCAGGCCATGGTGCACACAGCCCCTGAGCCTACAGTGGGGCTGGGCTGCCCAGGCCTCCTTTTCTCCCCACCCTCTGCCAGGGGAGGGGCCGTCCATGCAAATGTGTGTCCATCCAGGGGCTGCCCAGCCCCTCCCTGAGCCCTGGTGCTGGAGCTCAGCTCACACCCCAGACTGAGGAGGATGGAGGCTGACTTCACCCTTGGGGAGCACCTTGTGGGGTAGTGCATCCTGAGACAACACAAAGGACCCTGCTCAGGGGACTCTGCCATGCCAGAGAGGGCACAGCTGTTGAGTCCCCATCTGTGAACTCAAGGCCCAGACCACAGTCCCATCCTCCCAGGAGTGAATAGTCCCTGAGGAGCAGCTTGATAAACACCCCCAGGGCAATCCCACAGCACCCCCTGCTCGTGGCAGTGCCAACACCTCCCCACATGGCCCAAGGTCCCAGAGCCCAGCTGGTTTGAGCAGCTCAGCAGGTCACTGACTCTGTTCACACCTCCAGGGTCTGGTTCCCAGATACTGTGACTCTGAGACACTGTACTGGTTACTGGTGCATCTCACTCCCAGGAATCCACAACTGTGGGAAGTGCAAACATGACTTAGATAATAAATTTGGTCTCACCTCCAGTGAAGATGATGAAAATGTAAATATACAGTGAGCTTCCTGGTCAAGGTCACAGACAAAGGGTTCATTGATCTGGTTGGAAGGGCTTATAAGAGAGGTTCAGTGTCATTTCCAGGAATACACTCAGAAACATGTGCAGAGGACCATTCGCCTAACATTTCTAGTCATGTGATGCATGTAAAGTTTTCATAGATTTGATTCAGCTTCTCAGAAAACACTAGTGCCTATGGAAGTCTCCACAGCTACTAATGGAGTGTGAAGCATGCCTACTCAGTGTAAGAACTGACTCTTATCTTAGTCCCTGGAGTTCTGCACATCTATGTCATGTGATTCTGATAGGGGTTTAAGACTTGGGAAAATTAAGCTTAAGGTAAATAGTCATAAATCTAGCAAGTAATGTGTATGTTAAGTTTTTGTTTCAGTAACTACAGATAAGGCCCATCCTGGCACCTAAGATTCAGCAGTTGACCTCCTGGGGCACTGGCTGGAGATTACCTCCTCTGCAGACATCTGTACCAGGAAGAAGCAAGCGACTACCCTTTTCCTTTGGATGCAACTGTTAAATTTCAAAGGCTTTCGCTGACACCTTGTTTGCCCTCCCCTAACCCCCTTATAAAAGATCTGGCTGGGAAAGGAAGAGCAAGATGGTTTGTTAGGGTGTGAGCCCGCCATCTTCTTGGATCGCCGGCCATCTGAATAAAGCACCTATCAAAGATTCAATCACTGTCATTGCTTATTGGATTTGGTAGTGACAGCCAGCCCAAACGCAGGTGTCTTTTCCGGTTACAATTCCTGTTAGGATTTTGTCTTGGCTGTTGTAAAATGTGTTTATATTACAAACAGAACTTTCTCAGCCTGTATTGTATTACTCATTGTCTCACTTTAGTAGCAAGAAAACAGTCCCGTGTGATTCCTTTGCACCTGTACTGAGTGTCTGGGCAGTTGGAGGCAGAGACCATCACACCCCTCAGTGCCCGGATCCACCTCTGCTGCACCTGTGCCCATGGTCCCATGGTCCCACACGTCTAGACTCACAGGAACACCTAGTCAATGACTCTGGCCAGGATCACTTGCCCACCTCAGGCCCTGCGTCCTCGAGGACCTCAAGGGGCCTTTCTCATTCACCTGAGAGAAGTCACCCCCTGCTTAAAACCCTCTCTGACTCCTCACTGCTGTTTCCACAGAACCCCAACTCCTCAGCTGTCCCGGGGGGCTTCATGGTTGGCCCCATCCCCCCACACCCACCACACAGCCCCTCCACATGCTCTCAGACCTCCAGCTTCCCCCACCTTGCTGTTACTTCAAATCCTGATTCTTTTGCTTTCATGGTATTCAAGGTGTCTCCTCCTCTGTCCTTTGGGAGGAAATAGGATTAACTTGAATCATGGTGACAGCACACATTTTGGCCATTGTCAGTGTCTCTCAGTAGTAGGGCACGAACACAATATCAGACAGAATTAGACAATGAACGTGACAATGTGGAAGTCACACAAACTACACAGAAGAGTTTACAGAACCACCTGAACCCATTATACCAGCCCAACCTCCAGCATAGTTCTCCTCTTGTTTAATCTTCTATCTCCTGTATCACTCATTCCACCCCCTCACCAAAGATAAAAACACATCCACACACCAGATCCCTTATCAGCAGTATTGCAGCACTAACATCATTTATGTCCCAAACTCTTCCACAGGACAGCAACAAGTTCCAACCACCGTCACATAAATGTCCTGTGTTGTCATCTCCAGAGTGGTCCTCTGACTGACTGCTGTGCTGACTGAGAGGGGGAAGGGGGAACAGACCTCCTGTGTCTGGAGCCATGAGGCTCAGAGGTGACTCGTGTGAGCAGAAGGAAGTCCAGACCAGCACACACGGCCTCGGACCATCATTTATCGGCTCCCTTCACCCACGTCACAGGGCAGAATCCTGTCTGGTTCACACAGACATTTCAAACCACAGGTTCTTCCTTTATGAGTTTTCCTACCAATGTCATTTGTGGAACGTTGTGTTGAGAACAGGAATATTACCTTTCATTGATCACATGGCAGACTTAGAGATGTGTGTTAGTCTCAGGTGACAACTGATGACCTTACAGACTGTTATTTAAGTAAAATGTGAGCAGACACTCAATCATCATGCCCTGGGCAGGTATTTGCTCCTGGGGGTTGTGTGGTCTTCTGTCCTCAGTGTCTGCTCCTCACCCACCTGCTGCTCCTGTCTGGGCTCCAGTACCCACACACACCTGACCCCAAGGGCACCAGACCCTGTCATGTGTTCATTCACCTTTGTGTCTCAGGCTTGAAATGTACTCCCTAAGGGAGTAATGAAATATATATGAAATATTTTATGTGCAATGTGTAAAATTTCAATATATTAACTGCATAGGTATTTTAGCTCAAAATGATACTTCACTTATAGATTTCTGTTTGTTTTTTTTGTTTGTTTCATTTAATCTTTATTATATTAGGTTCCATTAACATTTACTTTCCTTACACTCTCCTCACCTCAGCAATCACCACACTGTTGTCCATGTCCATGACTCCCTTCCCTTTGCTCAATCCCTCCACCCCCTAAGCCCCACCTGCACACTACCTGTCCTCCTGCTGTCCTTCACACTGATTGACAGGACTTTCCACAAGACTAGGCCAGAGGCTCTGACCTCACCTGAATCTGTGTAATGTATTATCTCACAGACTGGAACTCAGAAGCACACAGAGACTGCACATTAGTCTCAGTCCAACTGACTGGCATGAACAGCACTCAAACGCAAAGGCTGCCTAACCGCTGAGAACTCATCCTTCTAATCCAGTGGGTGTCACACAGGGGTCATTCACCCCTCAGGGGATATCTAGAAATCTGGAGGTGGTGTTTTGGGTCATAACTTAACAAGAGGGTGTCACTGTCATCTTATGAGCATAGATGAAAGGACACATCTGAGTGTCCCACATGCACAGAGCAAACCACAAGCACTGACCCGCCCCCATTCCACAAACACACAGGCTCACATGCCCTGCTCTGAACTAACTCACCCTCAGGAATTCATTGTACAGGAAATAGGCAACCAACCTCCCTGACAGGAAAGTGGGAAAGAAAATAGAGGGACTCAGAAACCTACAATCTCTACACAGATTTTCCAGCAGGAGACAGCAGAGGGCACCCTCCTTGGTGGGGACAGCCTGAGTGCAGACCCAGAAGGGGAAGCTCTGGGGGTTTTGGTCTCACTTCTCCCTGAGTCTACAGCACTGTGTGAGTATAGGTACCAGGACTATCACCATAAGACTGACAGTAGTAGTCGGCCTCGTCCTCAGGCTGCAGCCCTGAGATGGTCAGGGATGCAGCACTGGAAGATCTGTCTATGGAGCCAGAGAACCGATCTGGAACCCCAGAGGGTCTTTTGTTAACTTGATAGATCACAGTTGTGGGGCCTCTGCCTGGATGGTGTTGGTACCAGTGCATATCGTTGCTTCTAATGTTGCCGCTGCTGCGAGTGCAGGAGATGGTGGCCGTCTGTCCCAGAGACCCAGACACAGAGCCGGGCTGAGTCAGCACAACCTCTGCCCAAGACCCTGCAAGGAGGGAGCAACACAGAGATCAGTGAGGAAGACCCGACCCTGTTTCCAAGGAGGGAGGTGAGGTCATCAACCCAGGGGACAAGGTGGTCCCCTTCCAGAATCCCCCTCAGGCCCCACCTGTGCAGTGAGCCAGGACAGTGAGGAGAAGTGCAGCCCAGTCCATGGTGGAGACGCCCCCAGACTCTGCTTCCTGAGCCCCACAGCCAAACCTGAGTCTTCAGACTTTATGTCAGCCTGAGGCTTAGAGTGGATGTCGTTATGCAAATCTTCCCTTTTATTGGCCCTTGAACCCACTGCTATAACCAAACCAGGGCTCCTGCTGACACCAAGAGATCATAGAAGTAGGAGGGCTCCAACCCAAATATGACAATGAAAGAGGCAAGAGTCAGGACCAGGACACATAGCTGAGGAATGTGAGGCATGGACGCCCTCTGGTGGATACAGGAGACATGGTGTCCTCGGGCTGGTCCTGGAGCTCAGGGTCCTGCCCTTCTCCTGGCCCTGATCATGTGCCCCTCCCAGTCCCAGCCTTTTCACATTGGCTCCCTTCACTTAGAAATATGCATGTTACGCTCCTTCATGTATTTCTGTGGCCTGAACAGTCATTTATGGATGTTGCCAATTATATTTTTCCATTGAATATGTACCAGAGTTTGTTTCGTTAATTCATTCTCTTCTTAAAGGACATAGCAGTTGCTCTGTAAGTTTTAACAAATGTGAATGAAGGAGTTGTAACTTCATCTGCATATGCTTGTTTGAACACAAGTCTCCGATTTAAATAAAGACTTAGGAGAGTGGTTTCTGTCTTCTATCACACAA